ATCTCTTTGCGGGGTACGGGGCTCCACTAGCCCTAGGTGATTGCGACCCGTCTCGTGGGATTGTGCCGGTGGTGTTGCAGAACGGCGGGTTGACCAACTGAGTACTAGTTGATGATCTGTCGAGACCCCTGTTTGCTATCTGTGGGACCGACTCTTCCTTTTTTCCTTTTTTTTTTTTTGGCCTTTCCTCCTCACGGTGTCTTTGCCCTAGTTCGTTCTCCCTTTCCTACGAATCCTATTGTGCAAGTTCTGATCCAGTCCCAGTCTGGCTTGTTTACCTTTCGAGGAAGAAAAAGTTATGATAGGAGAAAAAAACGGACGAATGGACTGTGAAGAGAATCAGGAAATTGAAGAGAAGACAACCAGAGAAGCTGTATGGCGATGCACGAATGAGTGTCAGACCAAGTAGATGAACGATAACCAAGCCAGGATCGGATTGGATTGGAGGAGGGCGAGATGAGATACTTCTGTGCACGCAGCTTGAACTAACCTTTTTTTTTTTTTTTTTTTTTTTCGATGATTGTAGGTAAAATGTGTCTGGCGCGAGATTAAGCAGGAAAAAAGGCTGTTCAACAAAAGAGACGAGCCACAGCTCCAAGAAGTGGAAAGGAAGGTGAATAGAACGAAGAAAGGAAGGAAGGGATAGAATTATTAGGCAATCAAAATTTGCGTTTGCTGGGCCTCAGCCAGTGGTGATGATGACAACGATAGGGGAAAGTGATGGTTAGTAGAATAGAATGGCTCGAGAGAAACAAGAGCGTCACTACTCGGTACGGCTGAAAAGATGAAAGCAGAGAGAGCAACTGGGCAAAGCAAGCAGCATCCATCCAGTGCAAGTGGCCGCGCGGTATGATAGCACACCAGGATGAGTTAGAGCGGGTAAAGGGGAGCGAGTACTCGTACCATACAGTACTCGTATGGTATGGGTTACGGTTTGGTATAGGGCCAAGTTTACAGTAACATAATAATATTATCATAGTCAAAAAGGACAGCACCGGATGATACCCGTGTCATGGGGGAGGGCAAAGACTGACGACGGGTAGGGTTGTGAAAGAGACAGACAGAGACAGAGAGACAGAAAAAGAACACAAGGAATATCAACAAGAATGAATGAGGGGCGCAGGTAGGTTCAAGGTTTGGCAAGCAACGTTTCCCGACAGAAGCCTACTGGTCCATCCCCGCTCGTTGTTTATTATTTTCCTCGTTGGGGTAGGTATGGCAGGATATTTGTTTATATTTTCTGTTTACCAGTCTATCATGTCCAGACTGCCCGGTGTCCACAAAATGATGATGGTGAGCGCATCAAGCAGGTATCATTCGACGCACGAATGCGGATGGATATGAGATGATGTGTGAGAAAATAATTATGCTCGACGAGGCTGTGTCGCACCGAATGTTGAGTGAGAGTGGACATCCTGCAGCAGCTCTTTAAAAAGAAAGACTGCGAAAAGGAAAAGAAAAGAAGAAAAAAAAGATAGCCATATCTCGGACGAGGTTCAAAGGTCCTTTGACTCCTTTTTGCTCTTCCCTTCCCCTCACTTGAGTAACTTGTTCCTTCGTCCCAGCGCAGTAATTGATATCACTTCTACTCGAGTACGGTAATGCCTCAGCCAAGCACAAACCCAGCTCAAGGACGATGTGTGTGCTTTTGTTGGCCATAGTATGATAGCCGTGCAGGGGCCAGGAAAATGTGATGTTGCACCTTAAGTGCTCGAGTATCTTCTTGGCGCAGTACCACCATACTTGTGCTCGGGCTGTCAAAGTCTCTCCACCACACACCCCGAATTCTGCAACGTCCAAAACGGGTTGGGCGAAAGTGTTCTCCCCTGTAAGTGTGTGTTAATCCTCTTTTGGTTCCCCAAGCGGAAAAAAATTCTCGAGTTAATTAAAATTTCAGAGAAGAGGGATGGAGTAGAAAGAAAAAACCTGTAATCTCCGTAAGTATTACTGTAAAAAAGCAAAGATGAATATCGCTTTTCTCTACTTTCTCTGCCATGGATGGGGAAGCAAATCTTCTGTGACTCGAGGGGACAACTCGATGCGCGGCTTGGACGGAATCTTTAGTTCGTTCAAATGATGCGATACGGGGGCAGAAAGCTTGCTTATTATCCTCTACTTGAGTAGGTACTCTTCTGCTCTCTCTTCTCATCATAGGCCTGCTCCGCATCTCAAAGCTGCAGATGATGAGCATAAACTACTCAAACAGGGACTCGAGCAGAGAGATTCATACCAGAAGTAGCATAGCAATGCCCGCTCCATCCTCCATACAGCCACCATAGAGGCGTTAGCACCTACGCCTCGTCTGCACCCTCTCACCCAAACAAGGGAAGACCGTGGCTCTGCCTCACAATCCATCCATCCTGAACCCTTTCACCCAGCAAGCCACCCAGTCCGAGACCTTCCCCAATATAACATCCCTCCAAACCCTCCATTCCACTTTCATAGCGTGCAGGGACCCCCTTTCCTCTTAGCCCTGCCAACCGCCCAACCGTTTCGGTAATTCTCCTGGGCTAAACAACCGGATGTGACCCGTCAGAAAGCACAAAAACTCGCTCCCAAAATCCTTTTGCCTTAAGTTATTGACAAAAAGGATGGTTATAAAGTGAGGGAGAGAGCAAGGAAGAAGATGAAAAAAAACGACAAGGGAAGGAGGGCTTAGGGCTTCTGCAACTACCGAACCCCTATGCGAGAAAAGAAGTCCCCTCCAACCAATCGATGACAAAAAGAAAAAGAGAGAGCTCGCATGCAGTGCACTTCGGTTATCATAAGTCGTTCCCCATCATTCTGCACGAGAGGAAGAAAGGGAAGAAGAAAAAAGAAAAAAGGAAAAAAAGGAACATGATACAAGTACCGGTCCCAGTATTCACTACCGGTACCCGGTGAAACTACGATAATTAAAGCGCCAAGGTCCCCCGTGTGCGGCGCTCCGTGAATCCAACCCGATCAGGCAAATTTACTGACAGCGCTCCAGTAGGCAGAACAGCATTGCTAATACTAGTACTGTACTAGTACTGTGATGTACCCGCGCGAGCACCGTACGAGCACATAAGTAAGCAAGACAGGAACCTAGAAAATACTGTACGAGTACCCTGGATATTAAATCTTTACAAATAAAAAAAGGTGGGTGTGAACATCCCGGACAAAAGCCAGTAGCCAGATAGCGAGAAGGGGGGAAAGAAAGGAGAAAACGTTCAAAAGGTTTGGACTGCCGGCATTGGAGTCGTCCCATCGATTGCAGCAGGGGTAGCTTGTGTTTGATACGGTAGACTAACCGTTACGTTCATGACGCTCAGATACCGCTACAGTACGAGTTCTCGAGTCTTCAAATCTTTCTTGGCAAAAGCATTATATATTTTTGCCTAAAGAAGTGGCGAATTGGGGTCTCACTTGTCGTCTGTCCTTCACTCCAATCGGACTTTTTTATGAAAAGGATACGAGGGGCGCTCATGACAGAGGGGGGGAGTGATAGGGGGCTCTTGAAATTATTCCGTGAGATTTGTCGATAATTTCCTCGCTGTTTTTTACGGTATTATTCGCTTTGCCGAATGTTGTTACTTCAGTAATTGAGGTACAGTACGGTAGGTATACTTTTGATGCGATGCCCGATTGGGAATTTATGCACTGTTGTTCTCAGAGTACCGTAATAGGCTTTATCGCTCGCTCATGGCATGTGGTAAACACCAAAAAAAAAAAAGCTCCTTGTTGTTTTCTATTTATTTTTTTCCTCACCATTCAGCAACTGCTTGCTTACTGTAAAGAATGTTGAAAAAGCACTTTTCTCAAGAAAGTGTGATTTTGGTGTGGGTGAGGTCAAAAAGTTTTGTATCATACCAATAGCACGAATCATACGACAACTCGTGCTCGCACAGCACAAGGACCCATAAGAAGGTTTACCGTATCATACTGCCCTCGTAGAGGACAGC